CAGACTTTTTTTTTGTTTTTTTTTTTTTTTTTTTTTAATTAGGAAAGCTTCTGAACATTGATAACATTGTAAATGCACATTAAAAAGAGGAAAGCAAAACAAAAAAAAAAAACCCACAGTGCACTGTGAAGGGGGAAGAACACAATAAACAGGTCAGTTGATGTTAATATTAGTGACAACGCCTATAGAAGGAAGAAGTAGTTTGTATTATACCAAAATATAATACAAAAATCAAGTTTAAAACAGTCCTGGCTGTATTGGGATGCAATTCTTAGATGCATACGAACGGGAACAAAAAAATCTGTTAAAATTTATGGCTACTTTGTTATATGCAACTAATAATGAGTAAAATGTACCAATAAATTCTTGATTTTACATGAAAGACAATGTGGGAAGGGCTATTTGTGTGTAACAGCTGTGTAAGCTTGTGATTTTTATTTTCCTACAAGGGTGACATGTACATATAAGCCACCAATGAACAGACTTTTTGCATCACAAGAACAGTATTACCTTTCCCTTACTATCCACACTAACTCTGCCTTCAAATACAACATGTTTTCTGGAGAGCAATTTACAATGCACTTTGCATTACAGGAGCGGTCAAATCAAAAGCACTAAAATGTTCAATGTATTTAAAACAAGGATAAAAAGGATTTGGGGGAACAAAAACAAAAAAGTGTGGTGCTCATAGCAAACAGAAATACATACATTTTTAAGCCAGTATTTGGTTGAAATTGGCAATACATTTGTTCTTCTAGTTTTAACAAACCAGTTGAAGATGTTTAACAACTATTAATACACAGGATATGGTGAAAATTCTGCTGTAGGTGCCCAATCATCCTGCTAAACTACAGAAGCATGTTCAAGTGGACTTATAGCCTAAAAAAAACACCAAATCAATACTGTGCTATAATATTTCTCCACATAAATACCTATTAATTAAAATTATGTATTGTCTGCTTGCTAGTTACTATTGGTGGCTATAGCATATTAGCCTGGCAAGTGTCATGTTGATGGGGCTGATCAGTCACAGACCAAAAAAAAATATAAAATAAAATAAATAAAATGAGTTGCTTTCTCCACATGAGGCAAGTACTTTGCATAGGAAAACTACTAATTATTAAAATATTCAAAGAAAGGTTTGTAATGTGTTGCTGAATGACAAGCTTCCTGCCATTATGGAATAAAGTAGTACAGAAGTGTTTGTGTATGTATTATACCATGGAACTCTAACGCTGCATTATCAGACACTGTGAGAAGTCCACTTTAACATAGTTCTTTTAATAATCAATCTTCTTTTACTCCAGACATGATGTACAGAAAGGAAAGCTCCCACTGGAATTTCTCCTAACAGACTAAAAGCAAAAAGGAAGGCTGTTTTGTTGGTCTTAAAAGGACCTGTCATGGGAAAAACATGTAGGCTGCTAGTGTGTCCCCCAATTCTGAAAATACTAGCTGCTTGGATGTCACACTAATCCTTTAGCTTCAATACTTTTTTGTTACTGACCCACACACACATAGTTAGACTGCGAGCATATAGCAAACAAGTCTTCTATTACTGAAGCCAGTCAAGTACTCTAGCATTGTTAGAAAGAGGCCAGCAATGGTTTTACAGATGTTCTTTAAAGCCCGAGTCCAGCTTTCTGGAACCCTCCCTCACTTGCTCTTTTTTGTGTTTTTAAAGCCCTGGTAATGGACCGGTTATCTATTTCTGAAGACATTTTGGAGATTATGCCCACGCCGACTCAGTTCCAGTAACTGTCATGAAGATACCCAGCATTTTTGTCCACGCAGGTAACATTGGCCACTTCATCCACTCACCATGAAATGTTTAGATACAAAATTGTCCAAGAACAGAATGGGAGGTGAAAAAGTTGTAGAAACACCCCCTTCTAGTAACATAATTCTTAAAAAGGGTGAGGGCCTTCAATACCATCTGTCTTCAAGGTAGAGAATATGGTTCTTTACCCTGGGGATTTGATAGTTCACACCTTTATCCATGTAAATCAAGGATTTAATATCTATGCAGACGTCCTAGCATCAAGGCTAAAATTATTTAATTACAAGCTGGTTGCACAACTATCACATCTTCCATTCTGTTTTTGTACAATCAATATCTATACATTCCATGGTGATTGGGTTATTATATTATTATTATACAGGATTTATATAGTGCCAACAGTTTACTCAGCGCTTTACAAAATAAAGGGAGACAATACAGCAATGATACAGTTCAATACAAGAGGGAATGATTAATGTGTCTGTGTGGATAGAATTTCTGGGGCATCATTGGAACTGAAGCGGCTTTGAGAAGGTATGAATTGTCTAACTCTGCAGAACAAGTACCGTTGGAATGTGACCAACTAGTTATGCCATGACTTGGATAACAAAGAATACACAATTAAAATCCTAGTTATAGATCTGGTGTGACATCATGAGTTTTCTTCCTTCTGCAGCCAGGGGGTCCTGAATACTGCATTGGATAGTGAAATGAACTGAAGTGGTGCCAGTTCTTACACTCTTCTCCTGTGAGCCCAGAGCGCCTTCATAAAGCACCCTTAAAGAGCAGGTTTTTGATGCCCTAGGCTCCAAGGAAGTGGGTAAAATGACATTGGGCAACATTTATCCTGAGAAAGGGCTAGTGTTGGACTGCAGAATCTGCAGGGGGCATGTGTCAAGTATGGGAAGTATATAGCCAGAGTTCTTTATTTAGATTTCTGCACAAAAATTATTTTTTATCTTGAGCTGGAACTGGGTTTTAAAGAAAACCTGTACTGACAGAATTACAAAATATGCCTTTTGTTGCTCTGACCTTAAAACAGTTACCAAGTCACTGTCCTGGAACTAGCATGCAGCCAGTAAAGCCAGTCAAAATGACAGAAAACACCAAAGCATATGTTAGGAAACTAGTACTTACAAAATGAGAGTTTGGCAAGGACAGCCTAGGTATTTTCACAGCACAGGTTTATTTTAACCAGAGTTTAAGGCAATTTAATGCACTCTCTCTCCCCCTTCCACATTTTGTCAAAATAATGGAGAAATAAAAGAGAGAAACAAAAAGGAAAAGTTCAGGGGTGAACCCCCATGTGTACACTCCTTCAAAATACACATCTCTCTGCTATTCCATTCAGTTCCCAACCACACTTTTTTTTTTTTTTACTAAAACAAAAACAAATGGAGGCGATGAAAACTAGAACACAAACAACCCCTTAAAATGACCAACATTTGGATAACACTTCTCTAAAGATACTCTTGACCTATGAAGAAAAAACCTTCGTTTTCACAGTGTTTTCAACAATCTCTGCAGTACATTGCTCAACAATTGATCCAGTCACATAGATCTCTCTGGTCCTAAGTGGTTGTATTCTCTAGATTTTAGCAATAAAAAAAATTTCTGATAAAAGGCTTGTGACAAAACTGCCATGCTCAGTTGATTTACAATAATGTATACTTGGCCCAACCACCAGACTGTTTCCAAAAGCAGGGAACATAGCTCAACTATGCCGTTTAAAAGGTGGCAATATTTTTACTAATATATATATATTTTTATGTATGAAAATTATAAAAATCTAACAGGGGTGAGGGGGGGAAGCAGGCATGGAAACTATTCTGAATAGCAGCATGGAACTTGTAGGGTTTATCTTTAAACAGGTGCAGAAACATAACAAACGTATAAATAATTTGCTCAGTCTTATATAGTACAGCCTAAAACCTGGATTAAAAATAAAGCCTAAAATAATTATACACGGTGAACCGCTTGCTCTTCCTTCTATGTTATCGATATACATATATAATGGTACTCTATGGGGCGCGAACAAAATATCTCTAATATTCCATTAACACTGGAATTTCTTTTTAAGGTTTATGCAGGTATGCCTGGTATTTAAAAAAAAGATACTTGTTTAAAAAATATAAGTGGACGAAAGAGTGGAGTTTGCTGCAATGGAAAGTATATTTGTAAAAAGAAAAAAAAAAAAAGTTGGATGAGGGGAATTTTACTCCTATCATAGTAATGCACAAGTAAACCATAATGAATTTATGGCTTAAAAGAAACAGACACTTGTCTGCTGTCTGATCTTTATTTGTGCCCTTCAGGTTTGGCAGAATTCTGTCCCAAATAAGCATTCAGCCACGTCACCAATTTAAAAAAAACTAAAAAAAACCCTAAAATTTACCTGTAAGTAGTTATCTCTGAGAGCAATGTGAAGCACTATGGACTTTATCAAATAAAGTACTAAAAGTACTTCCATGTAGCAACTCATTACAATTGAGCAGAATTCAGCTTTCACAGGTCTGATATTACCAATTAACTAATTTCTGATTGGTTACACAGCACTACTGTTCTTTAAACTGAGCTATTAAAGAAATGCTCATGCATGTGCTGCAGGCAGTATATTATGCCATTACATCCATCAGAGCCGTGTACCATGTCATTCTCATCTTTCAATGAAAACAGAGCTATTTGTACAAAGAAAAAGCCAAAGCAAAAGAGATGTGTAAAGTTATTTGATACAGCCATCAGATATTTCTTTCTAATCCCCACATATAATGTTTCAAAGCCACAAACTATTGCTCAAGTATAAAAGCCCACATTCTCTGTACAGGTAGACTGACCAAAAAATAAAAACACAAAAATAACAGGGGGAAAGAGACACAAAAGGTAGTTGAATGTATTTTGACCACAATCCTCCAAATTTGGTACAATTATGCTCTGTGTGTGTGTCCGGTGTCCTCCTCTTCCTTTTTTTTCCCCAGGAGTTGTGAAGAAATCAGTTCCCAGCACACAAGCTCACCAGATGAGACAAAAGAATTTTGTCCTCTTAGAGGTGCCACAATTTGCAGGGATTTTTTTCATCTTAAAATATTTATAGGACTTAATTTCTGTTTGGCTGCAGTGGACTGGCCATGGTTAAATGGGACTATAGCAGTACATGGGTCAGGGACAGTCATTTTGGCTATGTACACATTCATAGTCGGTCCATGGCTTCCAACCAGTAGCGCTATTTTCGTAGGTCTAATACACAAACCTGCATTAGAAAAAGACATTAAGCCAATTAAATACACCTAGATTTACCATATATGTAAAAATCAATGTTGTGCATATTAAAATTAAAGACTTTTTTTTTTTTTTTTTTTTTAAGAAATCTGAAAATGCATCTGGGAAAAAAATATAGTGTGCTCCTAACTCTGTTTACGCTAGCATCTGCTGAACAGAATTCCATAGCGGTACTAGCCTTGCTGGACATTTGGACTACAGAACACCTCCCCTCTCCATAACATAAGGGGAGAGCTCAGGTAGGACTGAACTCATTGTGGGATTTCAGTGCAGCAGAGGCAGCGTTTGCTCACTACAGGAAGTCAGGTTTAGCTGGACAGATCAACTAGTATTTTAAAAGATAAGATGATTAAATGTATTGCAGAAATGTGCTTATTTTTTCCCTATACAGGTTTGAGGCAAAAAAAAAAAAAAAAAAAAAAAAGTGTAATGTAATGTATATAGGCTTTTCTGTATCCACAGCTAAATTCATATCTTTTTTCATCACAGATTGTACAAGGTATCAGATTCCTCAATATATATGTTGTGTTTTACATTAGATGCTCTTCCCTCTGCCAGAAGCCTCCACCAAGATTTTATGGGGCCAAATACCCTAATTTTAAATACTGCAGGAAACGTGCAGGGACTAGGGCATGCTGGGCAGTGGGAAGAACAGAATTAGAGCAACTTTCTGGTAATAACTCAACAGAATTAAGTGCAACTTAGATGTCACATTTGCCTCTCCACAAAACTTTAGAATTTATCTTGTTAAAAATAACCTATAATTTTTACTCCAAAACGTTAAAGGCAAAAAAATTCATGGAAACATTTTCACACTTACTGAACCATCTGATGCACTTGCTCCAACTTTGTCTCCTGCTGCATTCCAGCAAACTTCAAATATGCCCCCTGTTCCCCGATAGCTGTGAACTAATGCACCCGTCTAGAGGAAAAGTAGAGAAAAAAAAAAAAATGACTATTTTGTATTTCACTGAGTACAGTACATCTAAGTATTATATTACATTTGCAAAGGTAATGCAAATAGAATGTGGTAGCATTAACAATCTCTCAGATATCAAAACCCTGTAATCATTTATCAGATCGTTCATAACCACTTTCTAATGACAAAATACAACTTAAAGCAGTATTAAACTGAAAAAGAAAGATTGGTTACTTTGCAGCTTAACAATTTCCTTTATTTTCACCTGGTAATCCAGCTAGTATCAACTTCCTTTAACAAACCAAGCTGTCCTGAAAAATTGGCAGTTAGGAGGTTTGAGACACACCATTAACCACTGACAGGGGTGCTTACAATGACTAACTTTAATTCATTTAAAACCTTTACCCCAAAAAGAAGAAAAAAAAAAAATGTTTGCTGTAACTGCTTATAAAGTGTTAAGTCGGCCATAAACAGCTCGAATCTCGGCTGGTTCTGCAGGAACCGATGAGACTTGAACCATGCATGGGGCAGGCTGAATGTACCCAAATTGATAGGTTGTTAAACTTTGGAACAATCAACCTGTTGGATTTTACATGTGATCATTGCTAGTGATTATTATAACTGCTAGCATTAATCACTGTATTCTCTCGGTGGGGACAACCCCCTCCAAATAAATGTTGTGGATAAGATTTGTTGTCTTGGGGACACAATTTATATGCTAAAAAGTCCCACTCTGCCAGTTTAAGTGGATTAAGGCCAAAAAACATACATGATGCAAACTGAACATTAGCACAGACAATGTCCTTAATCCCAAGACAGTTTAACCACTTAGTGATCAGACCAATGGATCCCAAACACAGCTGAAAAACACATTTTCAACACTGAAAATCGCAGTGTTGTCAACCTGGGGACAAAAGTAGTCCAAGGACCTGTAGTTTTATATTGACTTTACCAGTGAAGCTGACCTTTAAGAAATGAAGATAATAAATGCACATATATTGCAGGGAAAAAAATATGCATGAGCATGCAAAGCATTGTACCAGCCATCAGTGGAGTGTTGGTACAAAGTCAGGCTCCTGCAGACCTTTGCTTCAGCTCCTTCCCATACTACCATACGGGATTTCAGTTAAAAAGCTGGAGGAAGTGTCAATGGACTACCAGTGTGTCAATGACTGCACTCACCCATTTGTCATGATGGCAGACTGGATTTGTAGTTTATTGATTCACATCCAGCCGAACGGATTTTCAATGTTACAGTGACTGTGGGGGGAGAGCCGCATTTTTTTTTTTTTTTTTTATATAAATACTTTTTCAGCAGATTTTTTATTTGCCTAAAGCATACCACTGATATCCCTAACCAGCGTCACACCCGCAAGTAATGCCCATTGATCTAGCACCAGTATATGTCCACAATAATCACCTTTAACAGTGTCTTCATACTGGGGCCCAAGAGGATCCGCTACTGGACAACCAACAAAGTTTTTACAGCACGAGTTCTTATTCACCTAATGATTAGCAGTTAGAGCAACAGACTTTTCTTTTAGAAAAAAAAGTTTTAAACCATATGAAGCAGATTACAAGCGGACTGTCAAACTCCTTGAAATTACGACTTCTGCTGGAGAGCTTGGACAGTAAGTGGAAAACAAGGAATCTACTCGTAGGAGCAAAAGCTAATAAAAACCAGATACCAGAAAGCTAGTTGAGGCTCTAACATTTATAAAATGAATGGAAGGGCACAGGGCCTATTTGACAGGCACGGACTTGTGTTAATGGGCAAATGCAGCTTGTTTTCAGGTGCATTCTGCTTGCATTTGAGATGCCTCTCAAAACATCAATCGCAGTTCACTGAAAATCAGCATTTAAAAATTTTCCATGTTTACTTAAAAAGGTGCACTTGAGATGCTTCTAAGATCAAAGTTCAACAACAGGCAGTGGCGTCCCGAGGCAGGTGCGGTCCGCACCTGGTAACACCGACCCCACTCCACAAAAAAGGTAAGTTGTAAAGCAAGCCGACGATCCCCACAGGATGGATCCGATTCATCCTGCGGGGATCGTCGGCTTTCTTTACAACTTACCTTTTCTTGGAGCGGGTCCAGTGTCACCCCGTATAGGTTGCATGCCAACGATCCCCGCAGGATGGATCAGATCTGCGGATTGGGGAGCATAATGGATCGGTCTCCGATCCATTATGCTCAATTCGCAGATCCGATCCATTCTGCGGGGATCGTCGAAGGGGGTGTCACCAAGTGTTACCGCACCGGGTGACGCCTCTGGCAACAGGTGCATTTGAATTTCCGATCTACATTTGACCTTCAAAGCTGCATTAATTTGCTTCAAGCTGCATTTATACTGACTTGTATAGGAAGAGAAGCAGTTTTCATGTGAGCAAGGGCCAGTCAATATAGTCCCTTAAAGGATAAGTTCAACGTCATGAACATGTTCCACCCCTTTTAAGAGTAAACATGTAACATGTTCCCGCTCCTGCAGTGGCTTGAGAAAACAAGCACCCTGTGTGACACTGGGGAGCTTCTCCCCGTACTGATAGCTGCGCCTACATGGCTGCATCATTTATTAACAGGGTTCTGTGAATGAATCATCTAAAAGTACCAATATCCTTTGCGGTTGTCAGCTTGTAGTACTCAATGAATTACCACGGCGCTGCTGAGCACTCTGGCATTACATTGATTCTTCTTGTCAGTGTGAGACTCCCTGTCCATATGCTTACAGTGACAGTCTGCAGGAGTCCTGAATGGCACAAGCGATCTGCCATGGTGCAATGCTTTTCAGGCTCCTAAAAGGATAAATAAATAGTAACTGCACATTTTTTTTACCTGCAAAAGAAATGTGCATTTATTTTTTTAAAGGTGAACTTCTCCTTTAAAATTTGGAGGAAGGTTCAAACACTGAATACCTAAATAAACTGGCAATATCATTATATTAAAATATTACAGCGCCTATGTATTAGTGTAATTTTTTTTTTTTATATACAATGATGTAAGTAGTCCTAGAGATAATGACTTACACAGAGCATGTCAATCAATTACTTTAAAATAAGGCCAATATTTGTGCTTTTTTTCTCTATAAAACCCCCAAACATTACATGTTTTCTGAAAGGAAGGGCAAATGGTGGTCGTTGTTAATTTTTAAGTCATGCAACAACTGCACAGCAGTTTATCGAACAAATTTTCAGGAAAAAAAAAAATTAGTTTCATCAATTTAAGAGCATACAAAAAGATTATAAATCCCCACATTTTTGGTAAATATAAAAGATGATGTTACACTAAATAAATAGATGTCATGTCACACTTTAAAATTGTGCACGCCCCTGGAATGGCGACAAACTACAGTACATTATCCACATGCAAGGCTTTATAAGCCTTTACAGGTTACCAGTTTAGAGAGTTAAAAAGGAGGTCTGATGCTAGAACTATTCTCATTCTGAAATTTGTGGCGACACCTCATGCGTGGTCTGATCACCGTTTACATATGCGTGTGGGACCTACATGTGTATTCAAATTTGCATGTGAGCATGGGGGGACGGGGGCACTTTAAATTTTATTTTATTTCATTGTAATTGTTTTTACACTTTTTCTCTTTTTTAGATCAACGTTATTGCTATCATACCATATGAACAACATCACAACCCTCATATGGCTATGAACAATATCCATTGTGATAGAATAGGCAGTGACAGGTACTCTTTAGTGAGAGATCTGGGGTCTGTTAGACCCCAGATCTCTCCTCTGCCCTCAAAACCGAGATTGGTTTGAACAGATGCTTTGCAAGCCAGTAATGGCATGTAAACAAACTAAAATCATAAGTCAAAACATCCTAGTCACTTCCAGTTTCATAAACCAGAGAGATGATTGGGGAATGGATGTTCGTCCTATATGGTCAGCTGGAACCCCCGGATCCCCAGTGGGATGGGAACAGTGGCCGCTTTAGATCTGCTCTGATCACCTGAGAGAACTAACAAAACCAAAGAATGATACCATGGCTGCAGCTGCAGCCATGATCCTGGTATAACCACTTTCCAACAAACACATAAATATGTACACCAGTTGGAAAATGGTTAAGAAATATAGCTTTTAAATAGGAAATGCATGGTTTTAGATTCTGTACAGTTGGGGAAATTTTATCCCCTGAAGAGTTTGTAAGTTTGCCTACTTACAAAAAAATAATTTTTTTATCATGGGTGTATTCTAAATGATAGAGACAGAATATCAACCAAAAATCCAGGAAAAGAAAAAAAAAAAAAAAACACAATACAAAATGTTATATCCCCCTGACTCTGTGGCGCAACGCGTAGGCGAAAGGCTTGTGATGTCACAACGCTTGCGGTCACTGGAGTGCCGAGGGACATATGGGACGGAGATACAAGTGAGATATATGGACCCATGTAATGGTTCATAATGCTGAATATATGTGATGCGATGCAGCACCTTTTTATGTGAGGAGCCATTTTTAAGTTTTAACAAACTGATGTTTTATAAGGATAAGGCAATATTGGTCTTTCATATTTTTTATGCTGAGAGGAGGAGACAGGAAAAGGAGGTGATCTATTTACCTTAAGAGAGGATTCCTTTCCAATGATCACTGCTACCCTAGTTCAAATAAAAGGACACAAGCGTTGTTTGACCAGGCATTTTATGTTAGGTCAAAATATTCCGGTGAGGGCACAACTAAGGTGTTCATTTAAGAGACACAGATATTTGGGTTGTGAAGATTATGAGATATATATATATTTTTTTTTATTTGAAAGGACTCTCAAAATATTTGAAAACACTTATTTGTGTGTTTTAAATTTTTTTTTTTTTTTTTTTTTTTTTTTGATGTTTGAGAAGTACAACACTATTAGTTACGCTTTCCCTCTGTGTGCGATTTGCATACAATTGCCGCTCACATACTATGCCAACATTCCCCTGCTATGGGGAAAAGGAAGTGATGGAAGACTGTGCGGTCATGTGACCAGCAAATATTCAAAAAAATGCCCTCCGTTTTTTTTTTTTTTTTTTCAGCAAAGCAAATGCAATTATAGTTTGAAAATAATATTTGCTGTTTAACTTTGTTAGTAGCTTGTTCACAAATACTTTAAGGGGCTACTATGATTACTAGAAAATGATGAAGTCTGATGAAAACGAATACGATATATTATGCTATTCAAAAGAATCTGGTTTTAGCCACTGAAAATTCTTTACAAAGATTATCTTCATAGCTTCTTCACAATGTCAAACGTTTCACTCAGAGCCTAGTCAGTCCTTACTGCTGGAACCGTGGGGTGGAGACAGAGCAGCATCCATCAGGTTTTTCTGTAGATGTTATCTGTCATTTCTTGCTCACTTAGCATATTTAACCCTAAAGCATCTTAAGTGAGGCTGTGACAGGGAAGTGAAGAGATCAGCACAGAGATACAAGTGAGACCTATGATAATTTAATTAGGAGGCTGTTCCACAATGTGCAGGTAGACTTGTGTGTTAGTCATAAGCATTCAAGTGAGTGAGGTGTCTGAGGGGTTACACAGAAAGGCTGCAAGTTTAGCAAAGGTACAGCTGCATATTGAACACTGAACACACTTTCTGTGTAAGCCGCTTCTGGAAGTTAGGTTGACCTCACATTATGGCAATTAGATTTCAGAAAAAAATCCTGCCTTTGAATAATAAAACTCCCAAAAACATTCAGGTATATGGTTGCTTATATCTTTCTACAACAATGAAGAGACTTTTTGCTCTGGCCATTAACAGGCCTCACAAGCTGCTATGCCAAGTAACTGCATTAAAAGCCAAACAATTACTGGGTTGTATAACATCATGCCGCAATGGGAAAAAAAAAACAGACCAACCCACCCTACTCCAGAGAGTCAACAATGCCAGGCATAACAGTAACCATCTTCTGCAAAAAAGGGTGGATAAAAATCAATGATTTACAAATAAATTTTTTTTAATTTTTTTTTTAATTTAAATTGGATTTTTTTTTTATTTTTATCAAATTTATTTGGATAAAATGCTTTTAGAGTAAAGCTTTAACTAAAGATAGTTTTCTATTTAAGATACATTAATAATTTAGTTTATTCAGCATGAAATGGAGCTTAGTTATGTAGCATGAGGCTGTATATTGTGCAATATTTACACTTTTGGGAAACTCATTCAATGAATCCAAGTTCTGCAAGCTGAGATAACATGCACGGCATTGACGTAGTCACCCAATTTCTAAGTAACCATAAGAAAAAACATGAAATAAAAGAATTTGAGTAGTTATCCAGCTATGTGTGATTAACCTAATAACCTAAAATCGGTTCTGATATGGCTGTTTTACTAACCTGACAGCTTATTATTCTAAAAAGGAAACCTTCATTTGGTCTGCAAATATTAAAGATTCTAACTACCAGCAAGAATGAGTTGGATTTTCTTGCATTTAAAGAGCACCTGTCATTTTAGATCCATCATGGCAGTGCCTGTTAGCGGACATCCACTCACCTGTTGCCGCCACATCTTGTTGTGTCACTGCTGCATCACACAGCTGTCCCATTAAAGTGAATGGGACAGTCGGTGAGTTGACAGTGGGTCAGAGGAGGAGCCGCTGCGGGACAGAGATGACCGTTACGCTTTAAAAATTATGATATGATTAAAAATCGAGCCTTTTCACTAGTGATTTAAATCAAATCCACCCTCATTTAAGCCAATTAATTGCTACCATCATTATCCTCTTCTCAGAGTCCAAGACAAGTCAGTGCATTCCAAAGTCTGCCAACATCCATGCAATACTGATATTAGCTTAAGTGGATTTGGTGGGCCAATATAGAGAAAATGCCAAAACGGTGTTATAGCCTAGCTTTCATAAGTAAAATTTAATTATACAATCATTGTAACTGAACAGATTTAATTAATTTGCTGATATAACCACAGAAAAAAAATATACAAACCAATGAAAAACAAACCTGTGTATTCCAGATGTGTACACATTTATCAAAAGAACCACTGGCCAGGTACCGGCCGTCTGGACTAAAGGCTACACTGTACACAGGCTCTTGATGTTTAGTCAGCGTGTGAATGCAGATTCCTCTTTCTACATCCCACAATCTAACCGTAGAATCAAATGATGCACTGTAAAGAAAACATCAATATGTTTAAGTTGCAGTTTAAAGTGACAAAATTGATGCTGCAGTACAAAAAAAAAAAAAAAAAAAGACATAATTTACCTTGCCAACATTAGATTAGCATTCGGATTACTTGTTCCTGGTCCAGTGGGACTCCATTTGATGGTATATATCTCTTTGTTATGTGCTTGTAAGTCATGAACACAACTATCTTGCTTCATACTCCAGATCTGTATTCAGGTGTCAAAAGTGATAGATATTTAGACATTAACAATTAGGGGAAAAAAACATTTCTAAAACACAATTACTAAGATTAAGCAATTGCCGATTACCCAGATAACTAATGGCTATTGTTTTCTTCTCTTAAGGGCTTGTTCACAACATAGGGTGCAACCAAATCTGTGCTTTAATGCATGAAACCTGCACGTGTCTGCAGCAGACAGCATGTTTTCATGTGGTGAATGTGCAACTCTGCACCTGCTTTCACACCTGGTGTGAACAAACCCTTATAGTTGTAGGCTGCACTTTTCTGTTACTCTGTATTGTAACATATGTAAAAAGCCAATTTATAATTCATGCATGCAATAACTGGTTATATTTCTACATTTTTATGATATTAGCACTAGGAAAGCCCCAAATGAACATTTACTTTTTGTGTACATTGTAGGTGTGGTACATACAGCATATGGTTTTTTGTTTTAATGGTACAGTAAGAGGACATTTACTAGGTTTAGTTTAACTGTACCTTTAAGGTCATGTCATCAGAACAGGATGCAAGAAGGTTACCAGTGGGATCCCACTTTATTGCGTTCACTTCATTCTACAAACAGAAATAATGACACATTAGCAGGCACTGGTACTTCCAGAACATTATTACCCTAAATTCATATTTTAAGTCAGAATGTAGGTATTGTAATATATCCAATAATAATGAAGAATATATAATTAACCATTTCAATACCGGGCACTTTTACCCCTTTCCTGCCCAGGCCAATTTTCAGGTTTCAGCGCTCTCACACTTTGAATGACGATTGCGTGGTCATGCAACAATGTACCCAAACTAGAGCTTTCTTTTGGTGGTATTTAATCACCACTGGGGTTTTTATTTTTTGCTAAATTAACAAAAAAAAAAAAGAGAATTTTGAAGAAAAAAAAAACCCAGCGTTTTTCTTTGTTTCTGTTATAAAAGTTTGCAAATAAATAATTATTCTTCATAAATGTAGGCCAAGATGTATTCTGCTACATTTCTTTGGAGAAAATAAGTTTAAGATTTTTTTTTTCATATTGCACTATGACCAACTGTACTACTTTGGGAAGTGATCAGTATTTTTTTTTTTTTAATAACCCAAAACAGTGTATATTATTTAGTCTGTAGGAAACTTAGAGAGTTCACAAACTATGGGATATATCTGAAAATTGATCAGTCCTGAAGTACTGGCGGCCAATCTGATTTCTTGAGGCCCAAAAATGTCCAAACAATACAGATATCCCCAAATGACCCCTTTTTGCAAAGTTGACAGTCCAACATATTTCATAAGAGGCATGGTGAGTTTTTTGAAGTTGTAATTTTTTTTTGTTATAGTTTTTCGGAAAATGGAGAAATGAAAAAAAAAAAAAAAAAATGTTCACAATTTTTTTTTTTTGGTTTTACATATGGTCACCAGTGCAGTACAGCGTCATCATATAACTGGTGTGGTGGTGATCAGGAACACTGACTGATGACAGTACAAAAAAAAAATTGTATAATTTTCTTTTCAATTTTTTAAGATTTGAAATGACAAGGAAAACCAAGCCGATGGTCCAACAAAACTGGCAGGGGTCAACGACCCAACATAGAGTGCTGCTGTCAGCAACTTGCATTCCAAAGCTGAATCCGCAGAAGCCTGGAGGTCCACCTAGCAGAATTTTTAAAAGATACTAACTGAAGAGAAGGTAGTGACCTTAATTACTAACTTTTGTGGGTAAGCTTGTACAATAAGTTGTCTTATCCATCTAGCAAGGTGTGGACTTGGGAAGCAGGGTGTCCGTTTCCAGACCAAGTTAGCAAGACATAAAAAAATGTTTGATTTCCAGATAGAAGCTGTTGCTTTCAGACAGACAATGATAGCAAAGTCCAAACTTTTCCTTGGGATGCTTAGGAGCAGGGCACAAGGGTGGAAGAATGTCATGTTCATTAGGGCAAAAACTCACTGAAACAGATGAAAACTGATGTAAAAACTCAACAAGCGAAATCTGTATTTTCTCCTATCAGTTGTTTTCTGCACATATGATGTGAACAAGGCCTAAATTGCAGTCCTTCAACACCTGGGTTTCAATAGCAATGCTGTTACAGCTAGTGACTGAGAAACAGGATGGAACAGGCAGCCTTGAGGCAGTGGGTCTGACCTGTTCAGAAGAGGCAAGGGGTCATCACTCAGAAGTTTGAGTGTGTCTGTGTACCAGGTTCTTCTGGGCCACTTCAGTGCAATCTGAATCACAGATTTCTTCTCTTCCTCTATTCTGCAGAACAGTCAAGAAAGAATATACTGGAGAGAAGGAATATTTTAACCTATATGGAGTCTATGGAATTACCAAAGCATACGTTGGTCCTGGCCATAAACAGGGGTAAACTGTAGTTTAACCTGGACGTTATGTCTACATCTGGAATCCTCCATTTCTGACAGACAATTGAGGATGTAAGGATGAAGGGACAATTTGTTCAGGTGGTGACTACCAAGGAAATTCACCTTCCAATTGTCCACTCTTGGGATGTGATCAGTATAGATTGCTGGAAAGTGGTTTTTCATCCAGGAGATGATCATATTTACTTCCTTCAAGGCTGTCTGACTTTTGCTAGCCCCAAAGGTTGAAATATAGCAGTGACATTGCCTGATTGCACTCTGATTGAATGTCCAGTGGTGCAGAGCCATTTTATTGCCCCGAGCTCCATGAGGTTGCAGGGAAGCGGTGTATGCCTGTGTGACTAGGTTCCCTTAAATAGAGATTGGAACAATTTTCCCAATCATGTGAGACTGGCTTCTGTTATGCCATTCATGAATGTGGAGAAAGGGCTTTCTCATTTCCAAGGCAGGATTGTCAATCCATCAAGCTAGGGAGTTCATTGTTTGCCAGAAGAGAAGCATAGAGAAATCAAGAGATGGCGTGTGTTGGTTCCAGGCCAAGAGAAAGTTGTGTTGGAGAGGACTTGAGCAGACCTGAATGAAGGGAACAGCCCAAAATGAGGCAACCACGAAGCCCAGGGCTCTCATAAAATATCTCACTAAGGGGTTTCTTTTGGATCTTAAGGTCTGACCATGGAGGACAAACTTTTAGAAGTTGATAATCTAACTGGAGCCTAAAGAATCTCAGTCCTTCGCATGTTTGCAGACAGTCTGAATAAGATTAATCCTTACAGCGTCATCAGTTCCCCACCTCCCCGCAGCTCTGAAATGCTGTCTAAATTCTGTACTTTGAATGGCTGTAGATGAAAGAAAGTTTCAGATAAGCAGGTATAACTTGTGTAGGAGGATTTGTGTTATCTCTGCATCACTTGAGGCCAGTCACTTCAGTAGGTATATGTAAGGATTCACAACCACTTTAGGATGGAAGACAAACCCAGAACTGGCATCTTTATATAATTGCCAGATTTCTTTTCTATTATATAGTTGAACCAACTAAGAAGCTGAAAACTGGTGACATGGAACTTACGGTGTGTCCCTGGAATGTTTTTATTGGCCTGTCTTGTCCCAATTTGCAGACATGAATGCACATATCTGTACTGCATGATGCAAATGTGTTGTTACTTTGCCAGTCCACATCTAACGCTGGTGCTGAAAGACAATAAAATAAAAAGGTTTATTAGCAACAACTAATTGAAACTTTCCCTATGAACAGCTTAAAAGAAAAATGGCTTTCTGAATGTGGTCTCTGGACTGCTATACCTGTGCAATGCACCAGAAAAAATAGTTTTGCCTTGGTCTAAGAATCCAGTTATACTACTGTTGTCAAAAAAGCACCTTAAAGCTGTTTTAGGTATGATTTGTTTTTTTTTTTCATAATAGTTACATTGGTCTAACTTTTTTTTTTGTCATTGGTGCAGCTTGGACCACTGTAAGTATACATGTCTCATACATGAGCAATCTATGTAAGTTGCAAAGCACTGTGTACTAGTAGTTGCAACTAAAGTGACAGCAGCAGTCTTTTGGGTCCAGTGCCGAGCAGCTGCAATTCTACATAGTAACAACAGGGAGTCACTCGCTTGGTACGGTTGCCATTCAGAGAAAGTGGTGGCCACTACAATGATTTGCAGCTTACAGAGGTCAGGTATGAAATATGTATATTGCAAATAAAATACCTGGTGGCTTCCAGGAAGGATCTTCATCCAAAACTCTTGATAGAGTTTATTTGCAGAAGGGTTGCCACTTTCATAGCTTTAATTACCAGAGTCAGAATGATGTGGCAGGCATGGTACCTTTATGTACTACTAACACTAAATTTTCTGCCCAGGTTTATCTTGCAATGTACCAGGTATCAGGATTACATAGGGCTATTTGAGGATGGAACGCAGATTTTTTTAAATGTTTACAGCACAAATACTTTAGACTACATATAACAGCATCAAACCGTTTTTTTTTCTTTGTATTAGATGTACTTGTATACCGTAGAATCTTTTTCCTGTGGTCCATTGATGGACACGGGAAGTATTAAGGCTTTGGAGGTATACAGCTACCTACAGGAGGACTAGATTAAAAAAAAAAAAAAAAAAAAAAAAAAAAAATGTAGGATAGCCCAGGGTATAATCCTTCTTACTACCAACTAGTTTTGTAGGATAACAGTAAGTACCAAGGGTGTGATTATAAACACAGAGGTGGAACCTATTCATCAATGGACTTCAAGAAAAGGAGAATACAGTGAATTGATCCTTTTTTTTCCTCTCTTTCTAACCCATGCTAACATGGCTACTTTAACAGAACTAAGGACTGCCTGCAGTTTAAGCAGCTGCCTTAACCACTTGCTGACCGCAGATAACTGAATGGCGGCTTCATCGCGGCTGGCCAGTTCTGGGAGGGTGTCATATGACGTCCTCCCGTGATCGCACTTCCCGCGCGCCCCAGCGGTGCGCATCGGGAACTGTAAGTGATGGCTGTGTCCCTCAGACACAGTACATCACGAAGATGGGGGGTGAATGACCAATTACAGCGGCTGTTTACATTTGTGATCGCTCGTCATTGGACAGAGCAATCACAAATGTAAACACAGCAGGGTCATGGCTGGGTTCTCTCTCTCTCCTAGTGGGCTCACAGTGCCCGCCAGTGAGTGCATATCAGTGCTCACGAGTGCCCGCCAGTGAGTGCATATTCAGTTAGGTCCATATATTTGGACACAGGCACAATTTTATTTTTTTTCAGGTATTTACCAAAACATATTCAAGCTATAGTTATATAATGGATATGGGCTGAAAGTGCACACTCTCAGGTTTAAATTGAGGGTATGTACATCCAAATTGGAAGGTTTAGGAATTACAGCTCTTAAGAGTAGCCATCCCCTCTTTTTCAAGGGACCAAAAGTAATTGGACAATTGAATCAAAAGTGGTTTCATGGCCAGGTGTGTGCTACTCCTTCGTTATTTCTTCATCATTTAAGCAGGTAAAAGGTCTGGGGTTGATTCTAAGTGTGGTATTTGCATTTGGAATCTATTGCTGTGAACCTATATCATGCGTTCAAAGGAGCTGTCCATGCAAGTGAAACAGGTCATTTTAAGGCTCCAAAAACAAAACAAATCCATCAGAGATAGCAGCAACATTCGGATTGGCTTAATCAACAGTTTGGTACATTCTGAGGAAAGAAGAACTCACTGGTGAGCTCAGCAACATAAAAAGGCCCACAAAAGAGTCAAAAGACCCAAATAGAGGACTACTTGTGAGCTTCTGGCCTCAAAAGGTGCATCAGCAGAGGCAGGGAGATCCACCCAGGTGTAAACAGAAGACCAGGTAAAGGCCTTACAGACCTGCAAAATGTATGATTGATACTGAAAGTCCTGGAAAGTAGATGACTGAGCAACCTAGCTATGATGGAGAAGAAAACAATGTCCCACAATTTTCTGGGGACCTACAAAGAGGACAAAAAGGTATTCAGTTTTTGTGAAGGAAGATGATGCCAACCGTTCTTACCATATCCAGGAAATGGAGTGAAATCACAATGTTGTGCTTTGGGGCAGGAGAGAGGGAAGTAGCAATTAAATGTTGCGCTATGTGTGAAAGAAAAATTCCCTTTAAACAAACATAATAATTGTGTAGACAACTATACATACACAATAAAATGTGCAAAGTGATATCATATACGTTACATGTGAGGAACAATAAAGTCCACGTGAGTGAAGGTGGAATATGAATGCTGATATTCCTTTTTATGTTTGTAAGTAGGATTTTATTTGTGTAATAAAGGCACATTAGTTTTACTGCACTATGAGAGGCATGTTTTATTTTACATGACATTGTCCTGATTCCGTTATGGAAATGGCTTACTGACCCAAGTGGAATCTGGGTACTGGTTATGATATAGGAGGTCCGGATAGAGCTACATCTATATAGAGCCTAAAACCCCCTCTTATAAAGGGGTCTTCTTATCTGGTAAGCCTCCATTATACACACATGGTGGTGGTCCATTCACATTGGTGATTTGTTGGATGAAAAGAAGATCAACATTATTGATATTGTATTCAAGAAACGGAGCTCTTTTTTCACGAATTGTTTGTGGAAGCTGTCACTCATGTGGACTTTGAATACTTTATTGTTCCTCACATGGAATGTATATAACACATCACTTATATGTATCACTTTGCACATTTTATTGTGTATTTATAGCTGTCTACACAATTATGTTTGCTTAACCACTAGCCTACTGGGCACTTATACCCCCTTCCTGCCCATGCCAATTTTCAGCTTTCAGTGCTGTCGCACTTTGAATGACAATTGTGTGGTCATGCAACACTGTACCCATATGAAATGTTTATAATTTTTTTTAGACCGATAGAGCTTTCTTTTGGTGGTATTTAATCACCTCTGGGTTTTTTATTTTTTGCTAAACAAACCAAACACTGAAAAATTTTGAAAAAAAAACGTTTTTGTTTTAAAATTTTGTAAATAAGTAGTTTTTCTCTTTCACTGATATGCGCTAATGAGGCTGCAGTGATGGGCACAGATAGGTGGCACTGATGGGCATTGATGGGCACTGAAATGCAGCACTCATATATGGCACTGATAGGCACTGTTAGGCAGCACTGATGCGCACTGATAGTAGGCACTGACTGGCACTGATAGGTGACACTGAAAGACAGCTCAGATGAGCATTGATATATGGCATTGCTGTGCACTGGTAGGCACGGATATGTGGCACTGATAGCCACTGACAGGTGGCACTACTGGGGCTACAGTGATCGGAGCACACTGATCATCAGCGCCCTGATGATCAGTGTGCATGTCCCCTCCGAGGACTGCCGATTACCGGCTCTCCTCTCCTCTAGAGCTGTCATCGTGACAGCTCGTGAGGTGAGAAATGCCGATAACCGGTATTTCCCTATTTACATGAGATCAGCTGTGATTGGACACAGCTGATCACATGACCGAGCCGAAATCTTCAGCTCTTTCCGTGGATAGGTGATCCGCTGTGTCCATAGGACACAGCGCACAGCCGATCGCCACGCTGCATGCTCCCTGAGCCGCACATGCGCGGTTAGAATGGGAGGACGTCATATCACGTCCTCCCAGAATAAGAGAACCGCTTTGCGCCCGTCATTGCCTTATATGGCGGGCGGGAGGTGGTTAAACAGAATTTTTCTTTCACATATAGCATCAACATTTAATTGCAATTTAACTTTATTAAGAGAGGATGTCCTCTTAAATTGTTTGCAGCTTTATACATTGTGAAAGTGGGGGAATTTTCACAGTTGAATGTATTTGTTTGTTAAGGACAGAGGGAAGGAAGGACAAAATTCTCACCGAGGCAAAAAAAAAAGAGACCACGTTTGAGAGGGAGAGTCTGGGTCTCGGGACCACCTTTTTTTCTTTGTAAGATAAGAACGAGAAAGAGCCACCAACTCAGAGATACACCTGATGCATGGGTAATAGCCAACAAGACAGCCATCTTACTAGTTAGATCATCCAATGGAATATTCAAGATTGGTTCAAAGGGATATCTTTGATACCAAGGAATCACTAGGGCATCCACTGCGAAGGTCAGGGAATCCCTGGATTTGGTCACCACCTTGTCCAGTTTCTGGAGGAATCTGGATGCCATGATGTCCAATATCAGGTGTTCCCTAGTTCTGACAGAGCAACAAAAAGATTGTGGGATGGAGATACTACTTCAGAGTCCAGGAACTGGTGAATCAGAAGTCCACTTGCCAAATTTCCACTCCCAGTTCGAAGATAGCTGAGAGTGTTGGAACAGGGTTCTTCACTTAGGAGAGAATCAGGCTTGCTACCTTCTGGGGTATCCGACTTCTGGTTTCCCTTTGAGGTTTATGTAGGTCACAGCCTTGGTGTTTTCTGACTGCACTCTTACTGGGTGAAGTTCAGCAGAAGGGTCCAGTGTAGGAGAGTTAGTCTCATGGCTCTCAGATCCACAAGGGTGATGGGGTCGTGTGGCCTCCTGTGGGGACCAGGTGCCCTAGACAGTTAGCCATGGTTCACTGCATTCCAGTAAAATTCAAATGCGACTGAGTGCAGTGCAATTCAAGCACAAATTGCACCAAAGTTGTGCATGCACCAGTTTTTGGAACCACACTATAACCAGATCGCATGGGTGTATTGTACCATGCGACCCAGTGCGG